AAACAGTATTTTCACGGAGGAAGGGTTGAGCAAGTTGACCACGAACAGAAGGATATTCAGAAAGAGGCAAGCTCCACAAGCACAGGTTCTGGAATTAATTTTGGAAATTCTCCATGTTAAATCAGAAGGGAAATGGAGCAGAATATAGGTCTCCAACCTGCTAATGTGGGAGCAGCATGCAAATTGGGAAATCTGCTCAGCTGTACAATTGCAATTTTGGGATTAGCAGATTGTCTCCAGGAACCCAGTTACATTCCCTTGCTGTCAATGAGGGCTTCGTCATGTGCAGACCCATGTTCTCTTCCACTGCCCTCCTGATTTTACATGAACAGAACTTGCAAAGTTACTTTTCATTCCCCATTACTTGCTATAGCACCTGAAAAAGTAAATCATTGATTTAAATTGCCACAGTACATAAAAAGTAACTTGTTGCATTATTCATTAAGTTGCTCACTGAATTTCCAATATTAAAACATCCTTAAGATTTATAAGAAAATGATATTGAACAAGAAGTGAAGCTATGGCAGGAAAAGATGGGGAAATAAGAATTCTGCCCCCATTTACAGTTACTGTCTGCAATGCTAGAAGTTTGGGGTTTGAAGGAAAATTTAATCTAGTTGGGGGAAATTCTTATTAGCACACCAAATAGGACTTTTGGGTTAAGCCACCATTCTGCTTGTATCAAAACCTTGCATTAAATTAGTAGCAGCTGCTGACTTCCATTGGAGTGTGTTGCTGAATCTGGGCCAGGATTTAACCATCATCAATAACAATAATAGCAACAACAACAGTAATCAACAACAACAATTGTCTGTCTAATAGGGACAATGTTTGGAGCATGCCACATTATCTGATAATACCATGCTGATTCCTGGATTCTGGGATAGAACCTAATTCATTAATAATCCCAAACTCCAGTGAGTAAAACCTGGTAGACTGGGAATCCAATAAATAAATGAGTAAGAAAATAAATAAATAAAGAAAGAATAAGAACAAGAACAAGAGCAAAACAACAACAATAATGGTGACGGTGATAACAATAATGGCAAACAATTACAATAATGATACAAGAACAATAATAATGATAACAATAATTGCAAACAAATGCAATAATGCAATAACGATGCAGTGGGCCCATTGGGGTTTGGTTACAAAATCCATGGATGCTCAAGTCAAAATTGCAATACACAATGGTATAGTAAAGTGGCATCTCTTATATAAAATGGTGAACAGCAAGGTTTGCTTTTGGGAATTTTTTTGTATGTGAATATTTTCAGACCGTAGTTAGCAAAAATACCGCATGCAAATTTGGTGCAGAATAAGTCCTGGATTCCAAGGATTGTTGTCAGTCTTTGTCAGGTTCCCTGGCACTCAAGAAACATCATATTTCCAAATATTCTTTGCCCCTCCCCACTCAGGACAAGTTTGGCCTGGATGTATCCACCAAGGTGGACCATCAGTTGCCCACCAAAGGGTCAAGGGCCGGACAATGTCTCCTTTCCAGCCCCGCTTGGGTTTTCCAGAAACGGTTCCTGAGAGGCGCTTCTTGCAGGCGCTTCTTGCAAAGAATCAGGATATATTGGATTTAACTTTCTTTCAAAGGAAACAAGATGTCTGACAATGCAGAGAAGGGGAATTAAGGCAATTATATGTTTCAGAACTCAAGAACATTCCCCAGTAATCAGATTAGAACAATTTGCTGGGAGCTGGGGATTTGGGGCCGAAACGCGATGTCAAGATCCTTTTAGCAATTCAGTCCAATGGAGGAAGAAAACAAGCAAAACAAAGCAGAATGGAAGGACAACTTTTCAAAAAGGAGGATTTTTCTCCCCGCTGGAACTATAAACAGCAGCGGTTGCAGCAATTTTGCCATAATCAAGGCCAGGCCGGGGTCCCGTCGGCTGTCGTTCCTTTTTCTGGCCTGTTAAACCCAATGTGTTTTCTATTTATGTTGTTCTCAGTTTTCCACCTTGAGTCTTGGGAGAGGAGGGGTCCCTTGGGGATCTACTGGGGGATCTGATGGAGACCAAGATGGACGCCTCCCAGGCCTTCCTCCGGGATGCAGCCAAAAATTCACCAAAGAAACACTGGGAGAGCAAAGGAGGGGAGGGGCTGTGGGGTCGGGTGATGTGGGGGAGTCCCACTTCCCCCAGAAATAAACAAATATGGCTCCCAATTGAGCAGGAAGGAAAATGGCAACACCAGCCACAGACAGCTTCTGC